GTCACTCTTTTAACCCAAGTTGGAGCACGATTTTGCGGCAAAAGAAAGTTTGTTTGTTTGTTTTGAATTTCGCGCAAAGCTACACGAGGGCTATCTGCGCTAGCCGTCCCTAATTTAGTAGTGTAAGACTAGAGGGAAGGCGGCTAGTCATCACCACCCACCGCCAACTCTTGGGCTACTCTTTTACCAACGAATAGTGGGATTGACCGTTACATTATAACGCCCCCACGGCTGAAAGGGCGAGCATGTTTGATGTGACGGGGGATTCGAACCCGCAGATTGCGAGTCGAGCTCCCTAACTACCTGGCCATGCCGTGCCTCCCGAGACCACGAGAGCCAACATGGAGAAGTTAACTTTTAAATGTAAAATAAAACGATGTAGCAATGAAACATGCTTGAAATGTTCTAGATGTGGTTGTGAATGGTATGGTTTAAGTGTAGCGGTTAAGATAAATCATGGGTACAGATCAATAATTCGGCTTGTTCGAGTAAAGAGCTAAATCTGTATTGTCTTAAGCCTATTGACTATTATCGTTGGGGAAAACGTTAATGCGTGCTAGCCAATGGAAATAAAATTTCTTAAGGTACTGTTTAACAGTAAAATCATGTTTGGAAGCTTGTCGGCCAATAAAATTACAATAATTAACGCTTTATTTTATGTAATGCGATAGATCTTTGGTTAACTCGCCATCTCTTGTCAGTAATAAAAGCAATAACTATAAGTCAAAGTTTTCAGCACAACGCATTATGGAAACTTAGTGATTTAGGGTTATTTCGATAGATCTCGATGAATCAAGTTCACTCAGCACAACTTTTAAAACGAAACAAAAAAACAACAACAACAACAAACTAAATATGAATAAAAATATGACATGATGAACTTTATATGGATCATACCATGATGGTATCATACTGGCCATTATACCATCCTTCTTATATTTACTCTTCATTGCTGAGAATTGCAATGGACATCATCGTGTAATGCATCGTGCATCTACTTCTACTTCAACACCACATCTTTGGATATTCACTTTGTCGTTAGTTTCACAAAATATTGACACTAATGATTTATTATGTATGGTTCCAATTCCCCCTTTTTTTAAGATAAAGCTACTATTGTACTCGTTGTTTTATATTTCGCTGTCAATGCAGTATTCAATTGAAGAGTCTCAGATTCAGCTGGTATGTCAGATTGATTTGGATACCTTTGAATAAGTTCTTCCCTCATCCCCATTTTATAACTTGATGGGACTATATTGATAGTCTTAACCATTTTATAAATTGATGGGTTTATTTTGATAGCCTTAACCATTTTATAAATTGATGGGTTTATTTTGATAGCCTTAACCATTTTATAACTTGATGCTTTATTCATACGTTGGCTTGTTAATCTTCTCAGTTAAACTTGTCAATATAGATCCATCAATTTATAAAATGGTTAAGCCTGCCAATATAGACCCATCAATTTATAAGATGGTTAAGCCTGTCAATATAGACCCATCAATTTATAAAATGGTTAAGCCTTTCAATATACACCCATCAATTTATAAGATGGCTAAGACTATCAATATAGACCCGCAGTTTATAAAATGGTTAAGCCTGTCAATATAGACCCATCAATTTATAAGATGGCTAAGCCAGTCAAAATAAACCCATCAATTTATAAGATGGCTAAGACTATCAATATAGACCCGCAGTTTATAAAATGGTTAAGCCTGTCAATATAGACCCATCAATTTATAAGATGGCTAAGCCAGTCAAATAAACCCATCAATTTATAAGGTGGCTAGGCCTGCCAATATAGACCTGCAATTTATAAGATGGTCAATATAGACCCATCAATTTATAAGGTGGCTAAGCCTGCCAATATAGACCCGCAATTTATAAGATGGTCAATATAGACCCATCAATTTATAAGATGGCTAAGCCGGCCAATATAGACCCGCAATTTATAAGATGGTCAATATAGATCCATCAATTTATAAGATGGTTATGCCTGATAATATGATATATGAAGCCTTCACTAACAGAAGTAACAGTTACTTAGAGTAGAAGATTCACTTTTATAACAAACCCATGATCTATAGTTATGTTCGCATCTACAATAACTTAAGAATCAAATAACAAACAACAGTTATGCGTATTATAAATCAAAGGGAAGTAATTCTAAACAAAGTAACGAAATGAAGTAGCCTATACTAAGTATAACTAATACATTTAAATTTTGGAAAACTGTAGTATAAGGTAAAACTAACAGCTGAAACACAAACTACACGAGGAAACAAAACACTTCGAATTTACAGCAGTTGGTTATAAGGTCTGAAACTTTAATAACGAGAAATACATATATAGACTTTTACTGAAACTGTTACAAACTAAAAATATGTATGAGTACTTTATACGGAGCTGTTACAAGTTAGACATATGTATACTTTAGCTGGAACTGTTACAAACTAGCCATATGTATACTTTAACTGAAAATATTACAAATTAGACACATGTATACTTTAGCTGGAGCTGTTACAAACTAGCCATATGTATACTTTAACTGAAAATATTACAAATTAGACACATGTATACTTTAGCTGGAGCTGTTACAAGTTAGACATATGTATACTTTAACTGAAAATATTACAAATTA